GGGAGAGGGGCGGGGCCCCGTCCACCTCTCGTGGAAATGACCGCCAGTGGTCCGTTCGCCATGGGTCCAGCATTGGCGGGCACCTCTGCGCGGCGTACAGTGCCCCGTTCGAATTTTGCTCCAATCATGTCCCAGGGTCCTGATGGCATCGCGAAACTCGGCGCAGGGCTTACACAGACGACTGCGCCGTCGCTCAAGAAAGAGTCTGCGAATCGGAATGTGAGCGTCGACGACGACGCCGAAGTGTATTCGGATCCAGACGATGGTGTAGAAATTGTGGACATGGACGATATCAGACAGATGGACTGGATGGCTCCGGAGAGCCTAAGGAAAGAAAAGTTCGTGAAGAAGAAAGGCGTCAAGGTGAAGAAAGAAGATCATGAAGACAAGAAGAGAAAAGGTACTTTGATTTCTTATTCATCCAAGAATACCGCATATAATCCTGCGTTTAGGTGTGGCGAAGCCGGAGGCCATGGATGTGGACGTCACGCCGGAGCCGGCGGAGGTCAACCTGGCCAACGCGGTTGACTTGAGTGAAAGCGAGGAAGAAGAAGAATTAGAGGACATTATCGACGATTTTGCGCTAGGGAATGACGTTGAAGAGGTATGTGATACTGTTTCAACTTGCATATATCATCTTAAGCAGTACAAGGATTCCAATATCCGACAAGAGCGTCTGTACTTCTTCCAGTTTCCCAGTCCATTCCCCAAATTTGTATCCAATGCACTGTCACCGCCATCACCGCCACCACCTGTGGACTTTGATCCTGCATCGGCAGATAGTGTAAAGCCAGATGTTCCGAAGAAAGTTACGTTCGCGCAGGATACGAAGCCACCCGCTTCGGCCGCGCCTACTGGCCCACCAGTTCCCAGAACGCCTGACTCTCAAGGCAAACAAGAAAAGACTGAAGAACTAAAAATCGACGGTACGATTGGCCAGCTTGAGATCTATGAGAGCGGTGCAGTCAAAATGCGCCTAGGAAATGGTATTGTCATGGACGTGTGTTGATTTTGTCTAGAAATCATTTCATGATGGCCGATAACTAACATGGGGGCTGTACTCAGGTCACAGCAGCAACACAGCCGTCCTTCCTACAGCAAGCAGTATTCGTAGATGCCGCGAACAAGCGCTTGTGTGTTCTGGGTGAAGTGAACAGACGCTTCATCGTTACGCCTAACATCGAGACGCTGCTATCTAGCATGGAGCTGGCTGAACAGCCTGTGCCGCCGGAATTAGGAGAAGGGCTGCTCACAATAGATACAGGCTGGTGACAAATACTACCCTATTGCTAACAAGCGTTCAACTTGTTTGTCGTATGCGCATCGAAGGGCCCCCGGTCTAGATCTAATACAAGGTAGGTCGTACACTCAATGCCATTGCCGTAGACATGCCATGAAGTATGTAACAGTAACCTATTGCACCGTACTATATTCTACATGCTAGGCAACGAGGGTAGCGTCGAATACTACAGAAAAAGCGTGCTCTACGCTATAAGTATTACCAAATGTCAGATGTACACATAGGGCCTGTATCATGACGCAGCTGAAGTCAGAGGTACAGCCGCGAGTTGCGACTCGGGCGCATTGCTGCTTCCGTCGTCCTCCCCAAATATCTCAAGCAGACCAGCAACGCGAGCCTTATTGCCCGCCTTTTTCATTACATGATCACGCAACCCAGCTTTCAGGCTCGGCTGTTTATCCACGAGTTCACGCAGCTGGTCCTTTGGTAGCTGAAGCAGTGCGCCAAAACTCGCCGGAGCGATCAGTTTTGCGCAACGGATGAATCCTTCCCACAACGGCGGATTCGTCCAGATTTTCTTGGTAATCAACCGGGACAACAGAGTCGTGGAGACGAAACCCACCAACGATCGATATGTGGTGACGGCTTGGATGACCTAAAGCAGAGTAAATATGGATGTTTAAATACATGAGCTTAGCTTACCGTTCGAAGGAATAAAGTTGGGAGTACAGGATCGTCCATAAGCTGGTTCATGACCACAGCTAGGATCTCAGATCGAAAGATATCAGTCATGGAGAAGCATATGCCAATCGCTGCACAAACATCAGTTAGAAGTGACCCCTACCAGGGGAAAGACGCTTACCTTCAATGGCACTCTTCAGTCCAATTTCCTTCTCTGATTCGTGCAATAAGACCATTAGTTCCGCAGGTGTCAGGAGCTCACTTTGTCGCACTCGCGGCAAATTCGATGTCACGCTACCGAATGTCTGCGGAGGCGTTGTGACGATCGAACTGAACACGGAACGGACCAAGTTCTTGGGCTCAGGTTTCCCGTTGAGAATCGAGACGATCCGAGGAAGGTGCCGCAAAATATCCGCCTACGTTCCACACATGAGATTGTACGACTCAGTTCTAATTTTAGGCTCACCTTGTCCATCTCGGCAATTATAGGGATGAGGAATCGTGCGTCGAGGTCCCGCTCATTGATGAGAGACTTGACGAGGGTGACCAACTGTGCACTTGGCCGACCATTCTCAGTAAAGATCGTCAGCACACGGAGAGCAAGCGACTCGGCGCCAGGCGGGAATGTTCGTAGGAGCGTCAATAGTCTGCCATGAGTAGAACCTAGTGCGCGAATAAGTGGCGTGATGAGTTTCTGGATGGTGTCTTGTACAGTCTCTTCCATCCCTCCATACGCCGCGAAAATTCTGATCCAAGAATAAGTGTTTATTTTGAAGATGGTCACGAATAGTAGATCCTTACTCGTCTAAAAACTCGGGAACTTTCGTTGACAATGCGAAAAGAAGTTCCAAATGTTGCAGAATTTGGGCACTATTCGCAGGAAGCTCAAGCTGCTCGGGCAAATACGGGGTCTGGATGATGTCTTCTGGTGGGAGCTGCCCATCTTCCATATGTTCATCGTGGTTTACATCCCCATTCATTGGGTAATCTTCGGATTTCTCAGGCGACGGTCGTGACTGCAGACGTCGAAGCAGCTGTAGGGCGAAATCGCGAATCATGTTGTCCATTGGTTGGACATCCGGGATCCAACGCTTTACGGTGTTGATTGCGGCGCCCCGTGTCACCTTATCTAATTTTACCAATCAGCATGATTGGTATTGGCTCCAATAGAATTCAGAAGACTACCGGGATGAGTGGTAAGCTCGAGAAGCATGTTCATGGCCTCTGCACGAAGGGATGGACGTTGAGTGACAAATTCTCGGAGGGCAGCAAAACCCATTTGCCGTCTGGGAAGTTGCGTTAGAGCCGGCCAGTCACCCACGACACAGCTTACCGATCTTGTTCAACACAGGATTCCCGTAAAAGGCTCAACACATCCGGGGGTACATGGGGAAGGTCGAGCAAAAACCGAGAAAATGTCCTATCCTTGCCATCAAGGTGAGTTTGATATGCAGCAACTATCTGGTTCAGCCATGTTTCATAGTTCGGGGCCTATTCAAAAGTCAATCCTGAAAGCGTGAAGGTGCGCTTTCTTGCATACCCATTGTGGATCTCGCGTCGACTGTATTTGATCATTGTACCACTCCTCATTCATCCATGTGGTTGCGAGACGTAGCCTAGGCGACAAAGGACCGAATCAGAACTATTTCGGCCAAATGCAAGGGATAGACAGACCTGCCAGAAAAATCGGCGATGATGTAGTCACAAAGTGTTTGCCGTAACCTATCCTGATGGGAATAGATCTCTGAGACCATGTCAGACAGATCCTCAGGTTTCTTCTCAATTAGATCGTCACTTGATACTGGGTCCGTTACACGGGTCACAAGCCGGACGATGAGAAGCATCCACATATCTGCCCCGGACGTCCTCAACTCTTCCAGTGATGCCTCGGAGAACATGTCCGAGGGTGCTAAATCTTTTGCGCCTTCCCAAATACGGCCAAGTGAGCTCCGGACTATTGAATTCCGCTCGTCATCAGTGAGATCTCTCGGTGGAGGGAGTTTAAAGTCAGCGGGATGCAAGTCGAATGCAAGATCCATCTCATGATCCAAAGCGGCTTCATATTCTGGCACAGCCTCAGATCCGCCTGAAAGCTACAAAAAACGAAATGCATTCATTATAATTACATGTAACTTCGGGCAACATTCTCACCTCCAGGTTCAATCTGTCAGGTTCGTATTCAATTTCTTCCTCATCGATATCCATCTTCAAAGGATCCAACGGCTCCTCTTTTACAACGGTGGCGACGGCGGGGGGAGGTGTAGGTGTAGCAGGTCTCCTAGGTGGCACTTCTTGTGGAGAGGGAGCTTGCACTTGTATCGCAGGCACAGCGGATGGATGTGATACAATGGAAGTTGAAGGCGTTGCGCTATCGGCTGACCTGCTATGTCGATACGCCTGTACAAGTCCCATCAACGCTGCCTCTGAGAACGCCTGGATGTTGGCAACAATCAGGTCAGTGACAAGAGTGGCGGGAAGTGTTGTGAAGTCGAAGCCCGAAAATCCCGCTGGCAGGATGACATCTGATTCGAGCTTCGGTCGTTTGGAGTCGGGGACGTCTTGCAAGGGGGTACCGGTAGGAGAGCGCTTGCGAGATGCTTCTGCAGCGGCAGCAACCTTTCGCTGTTTTTCAGCCGCAGCAGCCTGGTCCATTCGTGCGCCCTGAGTTGCCAGGGCAGCCTGGATTTGCGATGTGAAGGGGGCACCCGGCGAATTTCTGCAGACAGGACATGAGATTCACCTACGCACATAGCAGTGGGAAAATGTACCGCGAGATATGGACCAGTAATATTCGAATAGACTTTTCGACACTCTTGATGCTTGACGCAGGCAAACCCTCTAGCTTGACTGGTGTCCACTGTGCCAATGTAGAAACGACAACGTCAACCAAAGCAGGTCGTAGTTTTATCAAGGTAGCCCAGCTATTCAGAATGGCCGACAAGATATCGGGATTTCTGAGACAAGTTACCTTGAGCATACACATACTGTACAAGGAGTGAAACAAAAAAACTCACTTGCATGTATACAACATCGTGATTACACTTTCCAAAAGCTTCAGCCCCTCTCCATCGAGCGCAGCGACGGAGATGAAGGGATGGTCTGTAGGGCACATGGATAAGTTCGGGTCATTTTTATTTTGTAGCTGCAAGCGCATAAGTAAACATCTATCAGAAATGAATCTGTACGCCACATTCGAGGACTGAACGTACCCTTGGATCAATGATCCCGCGTGTTTGGACAAGGATGACCCTTTGCATGAACTTGACAGCTGCAAACTTGACACCACTGCTAACGTGAGGCGACCACACGAACTCCAAGATGCGTGCTTTGGCTTGTGACAGCGCATCCCACTGCTGGCGGTTGTTCCTGTTCACACATCTGCACGGCCAAATGCACAGGTCAGCGACCATGTCTCTCAAAGCCAAGTAATCCAGCTCACAGCCAGCGGAAGAGTAGCGCATAGACAGTAGCAAAACACTGCACGGCGACCTTCACCGTCGCCTGGTTCGGATCTCCCAGCAGACCGACCAAGGTTTCCAGTGACTGGGACGCAACTGTAAGCGCGAACGCAGGATTAACAACGGGTCCCCCAAACTCAAGAAACAGGCCCACGCACGTTGAGTGCGCACCTCAAGCGAGAGTGCTGAACGACAGATGGCAAAGTGTAGGAGGTCGAGAACCCATCGCTTCAAGAGTGAGTCCCCCGCGCCGGACACAGTCTTGACGAGGGTAGTGCAGAGAATGGGTATGGGGCCGGGGTGCGCCTCCAAGGAGTCGCGCAGCGTCGCCAGCAGCTCTCCCTGCTCCTTGGAATCGGGCGGGACAGCGAGGGCGGCAGACAAAGTTTGCAGGGGGTCTACAGGATTACTGGCCATTGTTCCGCACGCGCTGGCTCACTGTCAGCCGCGCTGTCTGAGCTATCCACCGCAATGAATGGCCTTAGACTGCCTTCGCAGTGGCGCCCAGTCTTCGCGTCGCTCGACGCCCGGCGGAGTCCGAATCACTCTTGCCTCCTTCCGATGGTCAGTCGTCCCCTCGCTGCCCCCGTCCGCCCGTGCTCAAGCCCATCTCCCAGGCTGCGCAGCAATCTCAGAGTATACAGACCCTCCTTGAGGCCGAGAAGGAAGCCGCAAAAGTCGTCCAGCAGGCCCGTCAATGTACGTCCGGGGCGTTGTCGGGGCATTGTAACATCCCTAACAAATGACGGCTCTGTTCACAGATCGGGTCCAGAAACTCAAGGACGCGCACTTACAAGCAACTAAGGAGATAGAAGAATACAAGCGCGCCAAGGAGGAACAAATCAAGGCGTTCGAAGCATCTGTGCGTTCTTCTCCATGCGAGCCGTGCCTTTCATTGACGCGGTAGCATCGCACTTATGTAACAGCATGCAGGTAGCACCCAGTCCGCGCAGGCGACAATTGATCGGGAGACGCAGGTACAACTCAAGGAGATTAGCGAGTTATACTACAAGAACAAGGACGATGTCGTCCAGAAGCTGCTCGGTCGCGTAGTACTAGTGAATCCGGAGCTGCACCGCAACCTCAAGAAACAGCCTTGAACTTGCTAGGCTTCTCGCATCGTACGGTCGTACTCCTGCGGTATTCCTACTCGTAATATATTGTAATAACCATGTCACTCAATGCCCTCAGGTAGTCTGTTTGTTACAGTTCGCATAAAGGCATATTCACAAGAAGGTATCAGGGAAATTATACACAATCATGCGTGCTACAATCAGTCATTGACGGAGTCGAGATAAAGCAAAGGAAATGCGTGATCCAATAAATAGTTGACTACGAGCCATTGCCCAGCCAATCGAGTCCGACAGGCATAGTTGGTGTCGTCGCTGCGGGTCCCTTCGCAGGTCGTACAGGGGAGTGGTGACGCGATGCTATTCTTCCATCGTTGTCCAGCGGAGGCGGCAACGACGAGATCGATAGCGTGTTCGCGAACGCCTCCGAAGGCGCTCTCCACCGCGACGCCTCGAGGAGTCCACTCGCTTTCAACGAAGGTAAATTTTGTGCCGTCTCGCGCTGATTCCGCGCGTGCGGCGGCTGAGCGGCCTGCTCAGCCTCAGGATGGAACGCGGGTCGATGATAACGCGCGTTCTGGCTTCCATTCAGCCGGCCGTCCACGCTCGCATCTCCGTGAAACTGTACACCCAGTTCTCCGGACATCCTTTCTACAGGCGCGGTGGTCACGCCGGCTGACGCAGCCGTTGAGCCAGGACGTGCGACATTATCTCGATGTTTAGAGCTCGCAATCGCCGCCGGCACCGCTGCCTGGGCTCGCTCCTTCTCTTGGACATGCCGCCACTGATCGGCCACCACGGTGACACGGAATCCCCAAACCTTTTCAAAGTCTGTGTCCCATTTATGCAGCCGTTTGTCGTCCGGGTGATACTTGCTATATGACTGCGAGACAGTGTGTTAATATGGTCATAGTGATCGAGGGTGTATTGCATTCGGATACTGACCCAAAGGACACATGCGGCTGATAGGTATACCAAATACGTTCATCAGGAACAAGTCTAGACCATGGCATCATTTGACACGTACAGAGAATGGTATTCTTGGCCCGAGTTCCAGTGGCTTCGAAGATCATCCCTAGCTGGTCGCGCACCCACGGTACCGGTTCGCCTAATCGCCCTTCGCCCTGTCCGGTAAGTTCGCAAGATCGTTCGGCTCGGTAGAAGCAAGAGGAGCGTTACCTCTTCCAATGCGAGCCAACAGCACGGGTGGAGAGCGTGCATGAAGCAAAAACACCAGGCACCCGTATTCGAGCTCGTTTCGAACATGGTCGTCTGCTTTTCAAGATTTTCCTCCGAGAAGCGGAGGTGTGCGGGTAGCGACTCTGCCCATGCCTGGTTGGATCGGTGGATCAGAAACCGGGAAAACGGCACGACATGACAATGAAACTCACATCCAACGTCCGTCTACAGTCACGGATCACAGACTCACGCGCTGGGCCCTCATTCCGGGCTGTGTGCCGTCGCAAAAGGAAGCAATTCCCGAGCATCAGCACGGCTCGCAGCTGAGAATCTGCATCCATAATTACGTACCTAGCGCGTTCTGCACGTTAGTGTAGATGGAGAGGATGCGGCATACATGTCCAAAGTGCGACGCGTATCGCGTCCGCGGCGCGGGAACGTGTAGAAACTCAGATGCTGAAATCACCGCAGCATTGGTCAATCACCGGGGAAGCAACATGCACGCAACGGCCACACTCACTCGCTGAATTCCAGTGCACGGCGAGGTCGAACGTTGTTTCATCAATGGGAAGTCGCATCGTCGCCATCATCTCGACGCTACGGGGGCGCATCGGACGATAGGTGTAGATCGCGTTGATCCAGCCCATGCATTGGATTAGCCAGAAGCAGCGGCGCGTGCATTCGCGCTCGATGTATGTATCCAGGGAATCCGGCGGCGGGGATGCCGCCGGTCGGCGGACCTGGTCGTCGGACACGTGCACCTCTAGGCTCTCCTCGAGGACACGCAGCGCCAGATCTGAGCATTATAAATGGGGTAACGTCAGATGTGGCCGATTGGTCGGCGATGACTGCGAGATGGTCGGGGCGACGCACCAAAATACTTGTAGTGTTTCGTCCACGAGTGGCTCGCTGCCACTTCGTGCATCTCCATCAAGCAGAGGGCTTGCGCCGTTGCGAGGCTCGGCTCGCTCAACAGGCGGCCCGCATTATCAAACATGATGGAGACGGCCTCTTCGTAGAAAGGCACGCCTGCTACGCGCGCTAGCGACGCTCGAGCGGAGACGGACTTGGACAGAGGCGCGGCGACGGCGCAGACAGCGAGTACAAGATACTCCGGTAGCCTGTTGTGGCTGAGCGCCGCGGAGAATGACGGCTTGTGGAAGATCAATCTGTGTGGATTGCAATGGGCAAAGAACACTTATGCGCGGGGAAGATCAGGGAAATCAGCATTTATTCATCACACAAAATGCTGAGGCTTACAATTCACTAGCTCGTGAGTGGTGTCAGGGTCAAGGAGGGGTGAAGAGGGAATTTTCGGGTGATCCAGTCCCGGAGAATGCTGTGGCGATGTATTGGCGGAACTCGTGTCGGAGCGTGTGCGTTTGGGGGGTGCGGCTGCGTGATTGTCATTTTTGTCCTGGTGAGGCATGGGAGGGGACAGATCTCCTGCATGATTCGTGGGAATGTCCTATATCGCGTAAACCGGCCGACACTGAATTGAACATGTCGATGGTAGAAGATAAGAAGAACATACCAGACTCGGGCCCATGGGACGCTCTTGGTTCCCATTCCGCGGTGCTGGCACGGGGCGACCAGACGAATCGGTGTATGTGCATTTCTTTGAGGCGAAATAACTTTTGCGAATTTATTATCACAATCATGCAAATGAAAGACGATGCCATTCACCAATTACTGCACGGCGCTGGGAGTACGAATAGGAGCAATGAGAGCAAGCTCGAGGCAAATGGACGCTCTGGCACTGACCTGTACCGTCGCAGCGCCGCTTGCTTTTGTGGCACGCATCGCAGGCCTGGCGCGGATGACGTTGGCGAGGTCGTAACCGCGAGTCAAGTGAAATCTCACCTTGCTCAGCCTTTTTCGCTTTCCGCCCTTGACAAAGGCAAGGCTAGCCTGCTCCTGGACAATGTGTGCGCCATCGGAAGCTGTAGAAAGGGGTGAGGGAGGGACACCGAGGGTTCGCGCCAGACGTACGCGGAGACGACCTCTGAGTGTCAAGGGGCACGAGGGAAATGGCGCCGGACTGGGTGTGGGGATCCATGGGGCAGGCGGAGAGTATGATCAGACGGCGAGGGAGTGTGTATTATGAATGGGGAGGGCGGGCTGAGCTAATCATGCGACGGAGACGGGGAAGAAATGACAAAATGAGAGTCAAACAGGGGGGTTTGAATTGCGGAGGAGACGCGGGGAGCGAGGACGGTGGTGGTCCCAAGGCAACAGTGAAGGGGCGGGCGCGTGCGTTACAAGGGGGGGAATCTGCAAGGGCGAAACCGATCTACCGGATCCATTTAGGGAGGCACGGAGAGTCATCGCTCTCTCACGCGGGCGTCATCGAATCAGCCTTGTGCGAGCCCGGGGGCTTTTCGGCGCGGAGGCGCACTGCGGACAGAACCGTGCGTCGCTGGGAACGCGGAGGAATGCCGCCGGAGTGTTTGTGGCAGCGAGGACGAGGGGGCGGGCGTCGAGGACGACGGCGGGCGGGGGGCGGGGAGCGAGGAGCGAGGAGCTGCGCAGGCAAGTGCGAGCGGCGCGGACCCCGACGTCGTGCGTCACCGGCCGCGGCACGCCCAGCCCGCCGGCATCGCGTCGTCCGCCGGCACAGATTGCGATCCGCGGCCTCGCTGGGCTTGGGAACCGCGTCTCGGGGCCGGCCGCAGCAGCGGGTCCCAGCTCGCCCTATGCGCCCAACGCTATCTCGTCCCACCGACGGCAAATCTCGGGTCGCTCCTGGCCCGCTGCGGCTGCCATCCCGCTCATACCCGACGCGCTTCTCCCGCGGCCAGGGACGTCCTCGCCCTCCCTCTAGCGTCCCCGAGCTCATATTCATCATCGCGGCCATATGAGTCGTTAGCAACCGCCTCCCTCGCCAAACTGAGCTATAATCTCCGCCCGGAATCCGCGCTCGCATTTTCAGGCTCATTACGCATATCGGAAATGCTAAGCTGTACCATTCACTACTCATCTTTCCTGACAGTGGTATTGTCAATGCGAGAAAATCGCATGACCAGATTAGAGGAGGGTTGTGATCACTCTTGCACTCAGCGGATAAAAGACCAGTGCGACCATCGCTTGAGGTGACGCGATGAACAGATTGTCGCAGTGCCACTGTATAAACTCAATGAAGGACCTCAACTTGTGAGCGACTGCATTCTCATAATCCAGGCTGACGTAGTATCATTAATCGCTACAGTGCATACATATACACAGCAGGCAGCAAAGTATGATTTTAGTGCTAGACAACAACCGCTTAGTCGAACAGACCGAAACCCATGTCGTCGTCTGATTCCTCCTACACCTGCAGTTAGCATCGCCGTAGACGTAAGACACCGCCAGTGGCTGCGTACCTTCTCTTCCTCCTTCTTCTCCTCCTTGGCCTCCTCGGCAGCAGCAGCGGGCGCACCGCCGGCAGCCGCGCCACCACCAGAGACAGAAACAGCACCGCCAGAAGGAACCTACACCCGATGAGCGTCATGGAAAATTTCGCACTAGCACTGCACTCACGGAAGCGAGCTTCGAAGAGCCCTCAGCAATCAACTAGCATCGCAAAATCCCATGAGCAAAGCGGAAATAGCGCAGACGCGCACAAAGCGCACCTCATTGATGTCCTTGCCCTCGAGCTCGGAGACGAGCTTCTCGAGGCGCTCGTCGTCGGCCTCAATGCCAACAGCATCGAGGACCTTCTTCACGTCGCTCGCAGACGGGGAAGCATTCCCGCCAAGCTGGAGGAGCAGGTAGGCAGCAATATGACGCATCTAGCACCCACCGACGTCCTTGAGTACCTGCACGTAGCCAACACCTTGTAATTGCGCATCGCACTCACTTTGTGTGCTCGTTAAAGATGGGTACGGTAGCCACAAATCACTGAGTCGCACATAACTCCGTTAGCGGCAACAATAAACGACATGTCGAGCACGCTACTCACGTTTAATCCGCTACGGGAGGACCTGTGGATTCTATCCGACGACGTGTTGACTGAGCAGATCGCGCGCTACGATCGCAATACCAGGAGCCATCGGTGGCTGAAAACTGTACAGCTGTGTTCCCACGCACTGCTCAGCCACTCTTCCTTTCGCACTCCGCCACAACGCCTCCCATATCGTCCTCGACGCAAAACCCGCCCACGACACTCAAGATGGTGCGTTCGCAGTGTTCGACGATACTCTGAAGGAGCGATGCTGACCAATGTGCTTATTCGTGCCAGGCCGACGACTCTGTAACCGATCCCGCCCTCGCCGCCGAGCTCAAGAAGAAGAGGACGTTCCGCACGTTCTCATACCGCGGTGTCGAACTCGACAAGCTTTTGGATTTGAGCAATGAGGAGGTGTGTCTGCCTTCGTCATAACAAATTGACGGCTGCTGATTTTCTGACACTTTGCAGCTCGTTGAGGTACGATACTCCGACGCTAACATGTCTGTCTCCCCCTTACCTCTGCCCCAGCTCGTCCACGCCCGCGCACGGAGACGGTTCCAGCGTGGCTTGAAACGCCGCCCCATGGGTCTGATCAAGAAGTTGCGCAAGGCGAAGAAAGAGGCGCCCCCGAATGAGAAGCCCACGGTCGTGAAGACCCATTTGCGCGACATGATCGTCGTGCCCGAGATGATTGGCAGCGTCGTCGGCATCTATAACGGCAAGGTGTGCTCAATTTTTTTCTGCATTGCCTGGGGTGAGTTTATGCGATTGCGCAGGTATTCAACTCGGTTGAGATCAAGCCTGAGATGACCGGCCACTATCTTGCGGAGTTCTCGTGTTCGTACAAGCCTGTCAAGCACGGCCGTCCTGGTGTAAGTTCAAACTCTCTGACTACATCGTATCGATACTTATAATCCGACTTATCCCATAGATTGGTGCAACACACTGTAAGTACGCCGAAACACTCAGTTGCATCATCTCATTGATCATCTTCTTACCTCATCCGCTCAGCATCTCGTTTGTACGTGATTCATTCCTATTATAATGGGGCCATTCTAGATTTTCAAATCTATTTCGCAGCATTCCTCTCAAGTAAACTGTTGGGTTACTTTTGTATCTGCTATCCACCATGTGTTTTGCTACCAAAAGTATCACGTAACATGCACTCTATGCTATGCACGCTCTGCATACTCTATCGTTCGCAATCGACTCGCGTGATAAGATAACATTTGAAGGGCTTTCTGCATACAACTTACCTGGATTTCAACACGAAAGATGGAGGTCTGAATTATTGTCGCTAATGCTACATGTCATCGGAAGACTGTAAAGCGTTACGATTATGCCCATGGAGCTCGTCGAAGCGTCAGAAACCGGAAGGAACATTTGATACGAATGAATCCATTGCCCTTTCAGCCGGCTCGAGGGGGTATAATTGTGGTGGATTGGTCCGTGTCATACGATACGTTAAGGGTGTGAGAGTATAATGGAGTACAGATAAGGTGGAGCGGAAATGCAAGAGTGATACGAGCGATGCACATGAGATATATACCGACCAGAATGAGCGAGCGTAGAGCTGAGAGGACGACCCCGACGGGGGTGGGGCCGGGCGCGGGGAGCGATCATATTCGCTGCCGCATGGGGGGCTGCGGGTGGCCGTTCGTGGCGAACGAATGCGAGCCCTCGCCGCTGCTCCGCGAGGGGACGTACGAGTTGGACATCGACGCAGGCCGACTGGGTACCTGC